ATAAAGCAATGTGTTCCTTCTCCCCGCCCAATATCAGCAGCTGCCACTGCCAAGAACCAGAAATGAGAAATTACTATAGCCAGAATTATGTGATGAATTCTATGAATGAAACCACATACCGATCCCTATGGTGAGTGTAACAGCTGGACGGGTCACCCCACCCCTCCCCAACCACTAACATGGCTTTCTTCATACTCGTGTGGTATCCCAAAAACTAATCTCTAAAAGGCCATAGGAAAATATGGTCAATGGAGTCTGTAAGAAATTCTGGAATTTACTTTATTTACTACAGCTAATTTAGACTGCATTCCCAGGCATACTCACAAGGGAGTAAACCCAACTGAATTCAGCTGGTCTTACTTCAGACTAAACCTATATGGTATTGCACTGCCAAGACATAAATATTGTCTAGAAGGAATATTAATATTGGAAAAACGCTAAAACACATATTGATGCAGAGGAATGTATAAAATAATTTATTTTAACTACAAGGTATCAAAAAATTCACAGACCATTGATATGAACTCATTACTGCAGTACCCAAAAAGTTCAAGTCACTAATTGGGAAAATTAATAGGAATTGGCTTTCACAAGATGATAGTACTGGATAAAAAAATGAAAGGGCTTAAACCTTGGGGAGAAACAGTAAGGAGAATACAAGTTTATAAAGGACAGAAGACAATTGTCTGAATAAAACTTCAGAACAGTATCATAATAAATTTACTTATCAAAAGTTAATCTGGAAAAAGGTTTTAACAATTTCCTTGCTGATCTATCTCAGTGGAAAAACAAATGTATTTAAAGTAAAAAAATCCAGTTGCTATAGAATTTACCTTTAAAAGCCTTAAATTCAATCCAAGGTTCTAATGGGCATTCATTTGGGGCCCATTTCCATTGCAGAACTACCTTCCAGCATGTGTGGGGGGAAATTTTGAATATTTGAAGCCTGGTTGTGGTTTGTCATGTCATGTGAACTTGAGGACCATGGATTATGCAAAGCTTTAAAAAACCTTGCATATCCCATGGTTTGTTGCACTGTGGAAAGATGATTTAACCTTCATATAACTCATAGCACCAAATTTGCACACGGCAAGCTGCAGCCACCAGTAAACACGCAAATCCACCTGGCATGTATTGCAGTTCACTGTGGCTTAAAACAGTGCACAGTGGGCTGTTTTGATCCCATGAATTGGGTGATTGTAAAATGATGAACAGGACAGCTAAGCTAATGTATGACATTCAGATTCTAAATTAGTTAATAATAATTTCTCAAGCAGAGTGATGACTCTCCATTGCTAGTAAGTACTGACTGCTCAGAGGCATGAAGCTGTTAAAGAGGGTTTGGGCAAAAATCCGCATCTAAAATTATCAAAATACTAAACAATGAAAAATAATGCAAGTTTAACTCCTCCATTTTAAGTGTTTTGTATGTTCTTTGTTTATAAAGAATGGCTTTAAATCTCCATGTTTCTGTAAAATTAGGTTAGTTTGCTTTTGACATCTCTCTTATTCAGAAGAAAATGGGAGGGGAATAAATCACCAACAGAAATACCAAAATTTAAAGTGTTTTCTGCATTCAAGTGTTCTAGCAAACATGACATGCCAAGCCACCCTGCAAATAAGCCACTGTGAATTGTTGGTTTACTAAAGAACCATAGCATTCCCAACAGATTATTCTGCTTGCCGTGGCTTATTCTCCACCTCTTAGACCTCCTACTGACTATAGCATGCATTATAGGAATCTTAAGAGTAAAAATGCTCACTCCCTTGGTCTCTGTGTGATCACCCTTTCAAGCAATTGGTTTTCTGGGATTGCTGCCCTCCTTGCCATATCAGATTTACACACGCATTGATTTTCATGGACCTTATAAACACAGCAAAACATTCACTGGCCCTTTTTTCCTCTAAGGGATTTTGTTTTTGCACAAGACAGATTTGCTATTATTAAGGTCAGTTTCCTCTCTTGTCAATGTTCTAGTCTATTGCATCCTTCAGACTTTTTAAAGGCTGCTTTGGTTTACACTGAAGTAAGGGTACCCACTGGCAAAGCCCCTTCTGCCCTTCCACTTTTGCCTCCCAAATCCCCTTCCTACTTGTCACCTCCATACATTGGCGGCTGTCAGGTTTTGACCTTCTCAGTTGCTAGAGGCTTGGGGTGAAGGGTGCTGGTGCTGAGAAGGGTTGGGTGAAGATGGTTGCAAGGAGCCGCCAGGTTTTGTTATTGCCTGTTTTTTGCTGTTCTGGTTGGGTACTCGCTAGTCATTCTTGGCAACCCATGGTAAAATGACCCTGCCAAGTTCAGCCAACATGAGCCACCATGTGTAACAACACTAAAACAAGCCATGGCTTCTCAGGGTAACTCTCTTGTGAGAAATAAACCACTCTGCATAAACTGCATGGACAGTGCTCCATGGCTGAGAAGTGGATTGGGTCATGCCAACCAGCTCAGAATGTCAAGTGACCTATTGGTCCTGTTTTGAAAAAAGAATGAAAAGATGTACTGCTCTGGGGCATCTGAATGTTCATTTTATACTGAGAATTCCAAGTCTTTCACATATAAGACTTTCTTATACCTTCCTTTTACAATACCACATGGTGGGGAGAGAACCTGGGCTTTCCAGATACTATTCAAGTACCTCAGAACAGCAGCCACAGTGACCAAATGTCAGAAATAATGGGAGGTGTTATCCAACATCTGGAAGGCAACAGGCTCCACATTTCTATGTTACAACCAATGAAAACTTTAATTCAACAGACATTCTACAAACCTAACGCAAAGGAGGAAAACAGAAAGACTGGAGAACATAATTGGATAGGGAATGCAGCAATATTACATCATGGTACACCTCCAACAGCATGGAGTATTTAAATCTTTCTTCACAGCTTGCATTTAATTTCTTATTATTAATTCCTTATTTATTGTCATAGGTGTCATATGACTAAAAGCACAGTCCAATGCCCTTTGTGCTCAGTGCATGCAGTGAAATGTGGTGGCAGTAATCTTGGCAGCTACCATCACCATGCTTTGCAAGCTGCATTTCATCTACATGGTTTTCAGCTGCCTAGATTAAGCACTGCAAAGGGGCCAGGGAAGGAGGCTGGGGTGCTGTTTGGATAGGGTGCAAGCCATCTGCCCCAGCCTCTCCTCTTCCCACAAGGACATTCCATTTCCTCCTGAGGTTTGTATCTGCCCTTAAACAAGCAGCTGCCATGGTTCTTCTCATGACATTTGCAAGATGGGCAACATAACAAGCTCAGAGCTGGGGCTTTGTATAATTCTATGCTCTCCCCCAACATTTTCAGGAGGCCATTGGATTACACCCTTACAGTACATTTACATGCACAATAGTATGAGATATGAGAGGAATGATCTATCAGTCTTGGGCAAATACAACATGAGACAAAGGACTAAGTCCTAGGTGCATGCATGGTTCTTTCCCCTACAGAATTTGTAATGTAATTATAATGGCCAATATGTGCACATCTGCATCCTTGTATATTCTATCCACTGGAGCTACAGATGTCTAGCACATCTATCAGACCCACATCAGCCAGCTCAAAACAAAAATTCTAACACACCACCTACTCACAAAATATTCATTTTGGCATTATTTTTTTAAACCTCTCAAGCCAGCTTAATAGAGCTGATTGTAGTTTTCTGTGAGAAAGCATAATACAGAGGAGCCAAGTCTCCAAATGTGCACTTCCCATGTTTACCACACCACATACAACTGCTACAAAGACGACTGACCTGAAGGGGAATATAAGGGATTAAGATGTTGCATTCAAGTAGGCTGGTGAGATGTCAGTTTAGGCTTCATTTATGTAAGAACAGCACACAGCAAAGTTTGTAAAAATCCCATAAAGTAGCTCCACTTGTATGCCTATTTGGTTTTATTATATTATTGACACAACCATTTGTGATTCATTTAAAATCAATATTGCTTTGTCACATGGGCTTTTAATATGAGGTAGTGTTGACAACATTGCAACTGTTCATTAATGAAAGTTTCCGTGACTTCTGCTCATTACTCATACTTTCTACAGTTCTTAGATTTATACTAAATGTGATTCAGGCAGCCATGCCATCATGACTGATTTGACAAATGGTTTGAAGCCCACTTCAGGAACCTAGGATTCCAAACCTGCCTCATGATGAGAAACATGCCCATGAAACCTATTTTCTTCCTAATGTAAAATCAATTATACTTGTGCAGAAGTTGCTGGAAAACATGACTATATAGCAGTGCTGCCTTCAGGGTTATCAATCTGTAAGCAGTATTTTCTGAACAGTTCCTTGAAACATGGTTGACGGACACTTACTGCATTCTGTATCATAGTGCATCAACCTCATTAATATCAAACAGCTGATTTTGCAACTTAGAGACCAGACTATAATGTAGATTTTAGGAGGCAATCCATCCTGTTCCAGTGATTATATGAAAACAGATAGTTATACGTAACAATATCAATGTTAGATTGTTGAGACACCCTCAGTTTCACTGTGATGTTTTAGTAGCTCCATTTAACTCTGAGACACACATGCAGTTCATATGTCTTGCCTCACATCCTTGCTCAGGATTATCACCTGAAAAGGTCAATTACAATTTTGAAGCTGCCAAGATAGCTAAATGCTGAATTTCTAATTGGCATATATTCTTTTTTCACTAATGAACTGGAATGTTTTCTGCAGAAAGGTAAAGCACAGGAAAATTCTCCATTTTCTATAACTGATGGTTCTTTAACATGAATTCTAGGGAAAGAAGGAAATTTATGCCCTGAAACTGTTAGCAAACAATGACCAGGAATGCAGGAAAGTTTATCAGTAAGATGAGCGATAACTGGATTTAAAAACTAGTACAATGTTATGCAGGTTAATCCAAAAGAAAAGCCTACTCAGTGCAATACTTATTACTGCAAGGTAAATCTGTTTAAGATTGCAGCCTAGCAGCATTAACTCAGAGATTTTAACTGAATTCCTTTAAAAAAAACACATACAATTCAGAAAAAAATGCTTTAATTGTAAAATATAAAAACAAGACTATGGCACCAGGTGCACATTTATACAGAAAATGAGATTTTGCCAAGAGATTTTTCTCTACTACCCAAAAAACACTTTATTTTAGAAAACTGTAATAACAGCTGTTATTCCCAAACTAAAGTGCGGGGGCGTTTAATTTCAAGACATCTTTGTACTTGCATAAGAAACATTTATGGGTTTTGCTGTATTTTCTGAAGGAGGTACTCCATTTGTAAGTTTAGATTTGGCTGTCCCTTTCTAGTTCTTTTACTCAGTATCTTATACGCTTCCATTTTCTTCTGTTTGTACAGCTTCTGAGCTTTTTCTCTTTCTTCTCTCCTTTTTCTGGCTGCCTGAAATAAAAACCCTGTTTATTAAAAATAAGTACATTTCCTTTTCACTCCAATTAGCATTTAAACATTGTTTGATTCTTTTTTCAAATGCAGGCTGCAGCAACTTTACAAAATGGTAGATAAAGAAATTGAAAAAAATAATGCAACGTAAGAGCTAATTGGCTTGCACTGAAAACACAGAGTGTAGATTGTAGAATTGTGTGTGTGCAGCTCAGCTGATTATATATTTGTGTATATTGCTGCTGAGGTGCAGCTTACCAACAGTGACCATTATTGATAAGCTGTAAACTTAAAACTAGGAGAAGCAACAGTTTTCATGTTATTTGAGGCAAATATTGCAGTCTCTTTCCCCTTGCCTTTTCTCAGTCCTTAAGCAATCCAACTGCAAGTCCCTAGGAAGAAGTTTTGGTTACCCTTAAAAAATGGCTTCATGGGAACAAGTGAGTTCTAGTGGTCCTCTTGTTTCCTTTGCAGAGTTTGGGTTTGGACATGTAGCAGGATTCCTCATCCATGCTGTACACCTTCATTTGGCTTTTGAGTCCACCTCCATCAGGTAGCAGTAGCCAATCCACCTATACATCATCCTCTACTAAAGTTCCATTATTATATTATTGCATTACATTTCCATACTGCCCATAGCCAAAGCTTTCTGGGCAGCTAACAACATTTTAAGTCACTCATCCAGAATTCAACCAGACCCGAACCATCAAGATTAGGCAGGATCAGGCACTTCAGGCTATATGGAAGCTATAGTCCAATAGCACCACCCTCCACTTCTGAGTTCATCTTTGATCCACCAGTACCATTTCCAAGTGCTACTATTGAGCTTATCAGGAATTTAGCTGGCTAGAACTAGGGAGTGGTGTTAGGTGGGCATTGAACTCTTATAAAAATTTCCTTCTCTTACAAATTTAGGTTTAAAAGTACTAAAACACAGCTTTATAGTACTTTTTTTTTAAAGAGTACTTTTTTAAAAGTACTTTCTTCCAACACAAAAGTTATAACCAAATGCTAAAACACTGAAAGGTCTGTTATGCTCTTTCCCCATGATGGAGTTAGTTAAACGTCTTATGCATTAAAAAGAAATACTCTGAAACTTGTGTACAATGAAATTCTAAAGTTCATACCAGGACACATTATCAATCTCTAGAGTGCTGGAGAGTAGGCTATCCCTCCACCTAAAAAAAGTGGTTAATTCTTCCCTTCTATATCCTGAAGTGCTACTAGTCCAGATGTAATTTAAGAAAGTATCAATATAAAGCTGTTAAGCAATTAACATACCTCTTTTTTCTCATCTTGTGCTGCCTTTATTTTCTCATAATCTAATTTTGCTTTCTGGTTTGAGGTTTTCATTTTAGGTTTTCTCTGAATAACACTGGACCTGGGTTAACATACACACATCTGGAATTAAAACATGCTTTTGGATTAGTATAATTATACTCTGACTGGGTTCAGACAACACAATAACCCACACTCAAGGGTTGAGTGTGAGTTGTTATTAAATCATGAGCTATTGTTGAAATATGGGTTATCATGTTGTTTGGATCCAGTTCAGATAACAAAGTAGAGTGAACAAACCACCGTTCACAACCAAACAACAAATAATGGGTTCCCTTCATAGGTTGTTTGTAGTTAACCATTTACAAACAAGCAGTTCTTTCTTATTGTGCCTTCTCCGTTATTTCATTTGTACAATGTCATGCTCAGCCATGTGGAACATGGCTTAATCAGACAGGGCCTTTAAGTGTGTAACTCTGTAACAATGCATACTTTGTAAGCAGAAAGCCCCAAGCTCAATCCCTGGCATCTTCAGGTAGGGCTGAAAATCTCATGCCTTGGAGAGCCACTGTTAGTCCATTTAAACAGTACTGAGCTAGATGGATCAATTATCTGATTTGGTATGAGGCATGTGCTTGTTTCTGTTGGAATGTTAACTGGAAAAAACATTTGCAAACTACTTAAGAGAACAGTTGCTTTTCTAAAACTCACACTATCCAGAATAAACCTCTAGGTGTGAAAAGGGGGGAAAAAAACCCTAAAGATACAGAACTCTAGTGGCAGACACCGAAAGTGGCATGGTTGTGTTAAAAGCATTTCAAGCCAGAATGTGGGGAATTGTAGGCTGCTTTTATATGTAAACATGCCTAAGATTGCAGTCCAGACTATTTTATTAGCTGTTATTTCATTTTCTGATTTAATTTCAGGAAAAGATAAAGTTTAGTGAGCAGAAGAATTCTGAATTAAACTACTAAAGTTCCACAAAAATGAGTCCAAGAAGAACAAACAATGATCACATTTTAAAATGAAAAACTGCAGCATTAAACAAATGTCTTACTTTGGTGGTGCAGTATCCTTTCCTTCCTGTACAACTGGACCATTATTTTTAGCCCTGCGTTGCTTCTTAAGCATTTCTTCTTCAGCTAAGTAAAGATGCTTCAAGTGTTCTGGGTACTTGTCTGTGTAATCAATATTCTTTTGAGACTTGGCATTGTTTACCTTTTTCAGTAATTTTTTGTAGTCATGTTGAATTTTTTGCTTTCTCCAGAAGGCAAAGCCTTGACCTGAAAACATCAGGAAAAAACCCAGTTTGAGTCATTAACCAATTTGACATCACTCTTCATTAAATGTTTTCTTTCAGACCCACACTGAAAGAATGCTACTATCTGCTTTGAAGAACTCCAGCTAAAAGAAATAGAAGACACTTATGACCGTACCAAACCAACCAAATAGCTATATAATATTATAAAACAATTTTATGGTTCCTGGGTGAAACTTATGAAACTTCTTCTTTTCTTCACCCAACTATAAATAAAGGGCACACAAGTGCTCTTTTAGGCAAATTGGGAAAAAAGTCCCACCATTGTCTCAATTTGGCATTCATGATCAAATACGTCGGATTTCAAACTGATTCAATACGGACTGCCAGAGGCACAGAAAGCGCATCTTCAATTCTATTCTAAAGCAACAGTGCTTCCAGTATTTAATGCAGATTGGCGGAATGCTGGTAGTTCTAGAACTTTTTCCCTGTCTAAAGATACATAGCACTGTGTCCTTAACTGGAATAAACTCCATTATACCATTCAAGTTTCAGGTTATAGCAAGGGGGCCACAGGACAACGAGGCACACACAATGTTGGGGCAGTAGAAGATGCCAGCAGCTCCAACAGAATTACCTTGAGAAAAGACACATGGCTGGAGAATTAGACTGAGCGCCGTTCGGTCGCCCTGATCCTCTTACCCTCCTGAACGCTCCCCCTCAGACGACGCGGGTCCCGTCTCCACGACTGTTTCCGGCTCCGGAGAGCCTGTGACTTCTCGGTACCAGCATTTCTCTTCGGCTCCGAAGCACTCCTCCAACTCCTTCCCACCGGCGCCATCAGCCAGCCACTCCGCTTCCTCCGTCGCGCCGCTGGCGTCATCAAAACAGCGCTCACGCCTTCTTGGACGCAAGCGCGACCCACCGCGGGAAATCACGGCCGTTTCTTTTTCGTCGGTGCTTGATTTACTTTGCCTGCTCGGGTAGCGCATTCGACCCTGCTGTGGGCGGGGCGGGAAGGCAGGCAGCCTCACTCGAACGCCGAATCGTCGTCCCAAGCGTGCGCCCGCGCTGTTTCTATGCCGGGCGCGGCGGCTCGCCGCCCTACTCGCAATGTCGGGGCGCGCGCCCGAGGCTTCCCCGTCTTCCTCCGGGACGAGGCATCCTTTGCCCCCGCAGCCGTCAGCGGAGACGGTGGCTGCCCGAGTGCGGGCGGTGGCGCAGTTTCTGCGGCGGGTGCTGCCGCTTTGCCGGGCTCACACAGTGGAGTTTTACACGCGAGGCCTGTGGGAGAAAATGGTGGCGCTTCCCCCGGAGACGGTGCTGGAAGCGCTGAGCGGAGAGAGGCTTCAGCAGCTCCTGGAAGAGCCGCCTCCACAGCGCCCTTTGGAGGAGGCCGCCGGTAAGAGCCGCCGTGTGGTCGAAGATGTGGGCGCCGGCGCTGGGGCACCCTTTTCTTTCCATCTCAAATTCGTAGCCTCCAAGTGTGTAGGACGGACGCCCATCGCTCCCATCTTGCAGGGATTGATGTGGGCTGTGGTCCCACACTTGGGGTGAAACCAGCACCGTAGGGCGCTGGTTTCAGCCAAAGGCTCGTGGGACTGCCGGGGTGGCCTGAGAAGGGGGCACTAACATTTCTTTAAAAAAACCCCAAAAGCAAATGAGAACAGGAAAATGTATGGTGACATATTTCCTCTGAAATGATCATCCTTGTTTGGGAAATGATCACTTGCACGCACACGGGTGTAGAGAGAAAAGGATGGTAAAAAGGGGTGTTCGATGGCTGTGCACGGAGGCGATACACTTGTTGGTGATAGTCTGCAGAGGGCCCATTTACCAGACCAGTTCAGGGACATAATATAAGAGGGTGTGCATGTGTCCTCCATGCACTGGTAGAGGGTGCTGTGCCCCCTTGTATGATAGGCATCTGTCACAGAATGAGTCCTCCACACTTACTTAGGTGTGCATGGAAATGTCATTCTCACACGTTTTGCATCTGCCTTATACTGAATCACACCATTTAGCCCAGTAGTACTGATAGTGTCTGGCAGCAACTGTCCAGATTTCCTGCCCTATGTCAAGATGCTAGGGATTAAAATGTCCTGTGGAGAAACTGGTTTTGCTTTAGGGGAAGCAGGAAGGATAGGAAAACTTCAGGCAGAGCAATCTCAGTCCCCTTTGCTGTCCTGTATGAAGCTTTGTGACTTATCAGTGCTTCTACCAGAATGCAGGAAGTATCAAGTGTCACTGTAATTAAAGTATTTCATCTGATTTTCTTGCCCTAGCAAATGAAGTGAGCACAAGGCAGGCTTGTGGGCTGAGCCTCTACTTTTCCAAGTTGGCAGAGAACAGCTATCTCTTCTATAATGTCTTGTTGACTTCTCTTTGCATATAATGACTATAGTAACAACCTTATATACATTGTTGATTTCTGATAATTTTTTGAGATCAGCATCCTGTTCCTTAGCTTTGGTTGATAAAGAACAATTTTCTCAGTATGCTTAAAGAGTTTATTGTCACTGTTGCCTGCAATTTAGTTTTCTGTTTTATTCTAGTAGGAATTATGGGTGCTCTGCTTCTATTCTAACTGTAAATTGGAATCATAGCTTAAGTATTGGGAATTAATTAAAGCTGAAACTGCCTCCTTGCATGTTTTTTTTTTTTAAAGCAAAAACAAATAACAGCTTTTGTTTCACAAAAGTACAGGAAATTCATTCCTTTACAAATGTAAGATTTCAGGATATCTAGCTACATATTTGACTCTTATTAATACATGCATTCTGTCAGGTTCAAACTGTGACACTGTCTCCACACATCAGAACTCACAGCAATAATGGTCAGAGGTGATTTGCATCAAACTTTGAAGTAAAGTGATTAGTCCGGTGCATTTTACTTCATTGTGAACGTTAACTTTACATTTTCCTAGGACAATTGCCTCTGTTTTGTTTGAATATCAGAAATGAGCCAGCTTGCTAAAAGATTTTGCATTCCATAATCTAGACGTGCATTGTGCTTGAGTGTTCTCATGTTTTATATATTTTTTTCTTATTCTGGCCATGATTGCAAAAAAAAAAAAAAAAAAAAGAGATAAGCCAGAATTGCTGAGAATTCTGACATAACAGGTTTGTTTCTTTCGGCTGTCTTCCATTGGAGCTGAAATATTGGTTTATTCAAGAAGGCTTTTAGTCTATAAATTGGTTTGTTGGATGCTTTTTATTTTGTAGTTATGCTTTCATTTTGTTTGGATTTTTATTGTTTTAATCCATTTAAACTGCAAGCTCTTTTGAATGCAGTTTTTGGTAGAAGGGTAGTGTAGAATCAGATTAAATAAATAAATGTTGCCATGCACTATCTGATCATTTCTGCTTGGCATCTCCTGCAAGCAGAAGCTAAAGAACATGCCATTGATAGAAAGTACCATTCTATCTGAACCTGAACTTTTAACTTGTTTTCCCTGTGCAAACCAGAGTTTGAAGCCAGAGTTTGAAGTTAGCTTCTCTTGTTTTTAAAGGAATGGCAAGTCAGATTCTATTATATTGCTGGTCACTGGTTACTTTAGGTTGCCATGCATTGCGGCTGTTGGTAACCTGTATGAGCATCCAATAGAGGTCAGAGGCACTGCCTTCTGTTGCCTTCTCACTGCTCCCATCCTCTGAAAGACATATGGACTCTCTGCTCCCAGCACTGGCTCTGAGGTCCATCTTGCATCTATAGCTGACATGGAAAGAACCATGCTGACTATGAAGACAGAGGGAGAGTGCTCCAAATTCAGAGTCCTAGTTCTGACAGAGCACTTTTTTGAGGTTGGAACTGGGACACTGAATTATCCTATGACCACCTAGACCACATCTGGTAGCCATAGGATTGAGTCACTTAGCTTCATCCTGCTGAAGGAGCCAAGTGGGGAGCAATCACATCGCAAGGTATGTCTGTTACTGATGCAAATTCTGACTTCCAATTTTGTACAAATGTGACTTCTGTTTTAGTATTTAACTTGTATTTTGCTTCATGGTAAAGAAAATAGTAAAAACAACAGGGAAGCATTCTAGTGAAAAAAAGTAGTCTATTTATTTAATTTCTGGTCTACCCCATTAGCCATACAGCTCCCTAGGTGGGTTATAGCAACAAAATACAAAATAAAATGCAGACTAGATCACTATATCAGATCACATATTCCATGTCTGCTAGGTTATCTGCTTAAAGTGTTCAAAAGTTGTACAATATTAAATAAAAGATGACATATGGATTGATTGATCAGGAAATAATCATTCAGTAGATTTTGGGGGCAAATGTATTTTTCTTGAAAGCCAATAAAGTTGGAGGGGGAGTTTTGTACATACGGGCTGTGTGCTTTATGAAGTTAGGAGCCACAGGATTTTGAATCCTATGACTCTGCATGGCTTGGAGTTCATCTACACCTGCTCCCATGTCATGTTCCAGCATGATTGCTGACAACCAACCTCCTGCCTTCAGTCCATTGATATCCCAGTTTATACAACAAGAGCATGTAGAGATTGGTTGTTACTTTTCCCAGAGTAAATATATTATTTTAGATTTACTAATTTAGTAATCTATGTTCCATATAGTGCAATGGCAGGCCATGTTACTGTGATCTTATACTGCTGACTCAACAAGTAAAGTGTACTAGGATATGAAAGGATGAAAGGGCAGGTTCTGTGCATTCAAAAGATATAAAAAGGTTCTACAGGTTTCAGCATCCCTTCAGTCAGACATGCTGACTTCATTTCTAAACAAGCATAATATTGCATTTTTAGAATACTACAAGAGCAACCATATCCTTACATTTGCTGCATACATGTATGCTTCGAGTAGGGTGTAGATTGTTTTGATATTCATCTTAAACAAGTAGATTGTCAACAAGACAAAAATAAGCATTGTGAGTCTGAAGAAGAGTTTGGGGAATGGTTGATCTAGCATGCTATGTAGATTCTGTTCAGTAAAATTAGAATATGGAACAATATAAAATCATGTAGTGAAAGCAAGAGTTTCTCTGTGCATATTTTGTTTTATATGATTTTTAAAAAAACCCATTCTATTTTTTATCAGCTGTTTTCCTGTTCTTTCTACACAGATGGCTGTGAGTTTTACAACATTTTCTGTGAACATTCTCAGAGACTGGTCAATGTGAAGGCTTTAGCTCTAGCTGCAAAATACTATTCCATGCCAAACCTTGGAGTGTGTACTCCTTTAGAACAGATGCTTGAAATATTGACCAGGAAACAACAGTCAAGATCTGGTAAAATAACTTTGGAATTTCCTTGTATGTCTTCTTACATCCTTCTGCTCGATATTTACATACTCTTGCTTTGCAGGCACAACAATATTGCTTAATTCATCCTTACATTTGCTGTGTTCTCTTTTCTAAGCAATCCAGAAATATATATTCTTCTACAGGCAGTAAAATCCTATTAAATGTCTACTTGGAACTAATCCCAGCTGTGTTCAGTGGGGTTAATTCCCAAGCTAAGTCTACTGAAGGTTGCAATGTTAATTATCTCTTTGAGTGTCAATAGTGGTACCTCTTTTTTGCATCATTTTAAATTTCAGTAGCCACAGTTTGGGCTGTGTATAAATTCTTATGTAAGCTGCTGAGCAAACCTTACTTTCTTTGAAAAGTACTCACTGTGAATTTGACATGTTAAGTTTCTTTTGAAACTGTACTGGGAGCGGCTGTTCAAAAAATGAAAGTGGTCAAGCTCACATTGAGAAAGCAAAGTGAGTAACGCAGTGCTGTACTGTGCCAATAGCAATGTCACATTTAACATTCTTTACAGCTAGGTCCTTCATTCACAACTTCCCACTCAGTGCCCTTTGTCAGCAGGGAACAATTTAACCTTTGACAACTACAAACTTTCAGAAAATGGTGGAGAGAATAATTAGAAATGGACACATAATTGCAATATAACCTTAAATAATAAAAATAAAACAATTTCATTAAAATTCTTTGTATTTAATACTAAAAGAAAGCTTACTAACTAGAGTAGAATTACTTGGCACTTACTGGTGAGACCAATACCAAACTTCAGAGTTGTAATATGGTATTTTCATATGATCACTGGGGCCTTTAAATGTCAAATGTTTTCCAGACTTTCCTAGATTCATTTCTGTTTTCCAGAAAAGACACATCTGCTAACCATTGAGAAAATGTTCTTGAACAAATTGCATTGTTTTCAAAAAGGAACTTGCGCACAAAGAGGAATTTTACAACATTCAAACATATTGTGCTGAAAATTCTCTTTCATGTGTTTTTTTATAATTTCCCTTATCATAAGAAGAGAAATATGCCTCAGAGATTACTTTGAAGAGCTACATAGTCTGCCTTAGAAATAACTGAAATAGCTTGGAAATATGTTATCCACTGCTAGGATTACATTTACAAAAGTGTCTTTTTCCTCTTTAAAAATAAGTTGCAGCTGTTTCTATATCCCCAAAGATCACTAATGAAACATCAGTGGAGCTATAAAATGCATAAGCATTTATGCAACCAAAGCATCTTTGAAACTGTGTTCCATGTACTAGTTGTTTATATTTGAAGTAATTTGGAGGTAAGAAGTTGAATCCATGAGCCAATTTTGATCCATGTAGTTGAACTTAGGACCCATTGAAGTCCACATGAAAAAATAGTGATGGTGTAATGTAAGTATTTCAGTGAGAATGATTTGCTGCTTAGATATTTTGGATTCAACTCAAGATTATTCTGCAGAAATTTATATTCCCATTTGGGCATGGCATTCGGTATTGACATTTATTTCTTATTGTTGGCATCTTTTGGGCCAAAATATTTAGTATGGTTCCAGACATGATCAGCTGGACTATTAATATTTTTTCTAATACTGATGATTACCCTTTATCCTAACTTGAAGCAAAGCATTTCATTGTGTAGGTTAATGTTATTAATGTGACTATCAAAGAGTGTCTGGGACACCATGGGATGCTCTGGATCTCCTTTTTGCTGACAGAAAGAGCTATAAACATGAAGGAGGAGATCCAGTCATGAATCTGCCCTCACTCCTAGCCACCACAGAAAACTTTTCTTATGGACTGAATTACTTGTAAGAGAAGTTGGAAAGAAGGGGGCATCCTGGAGGGTTGTGCCATATCCTGTGCCTCTCTCGTTGCCTTTCCTCCACTAAGTTGGGCTTAGTGGCATAGGTAGCTGTCTTTTATATTTTCAGTGAAGGAACAGAGGTGATATTGCCTCTGCCTTCCTCATATCCTGCCAGGTTCTTCCTAGCATGGCATAGGGTAGGGTAGGTACACGTTTCCAAATGAAAGCTAATAGAATGCATGTGTGGGTTGAAGTCCACACTTTGACAGCTAGTTAAATGTCACTGTGTGTGAAATTTTATAACCATAATGCCTTTAATAAAATATAATTGTTTCTACAATAATTTTTCTGAACATTCTTCAATAATACAGTTGTGTAAACAGGATTCATAATATATACGTATATAGTTTGCTGATTGTTCTAACTATAACCCATTGTGCTGCATTGGATCATATTCTGGGAGGTTCCTTGATCAGGACATGCAGTGGGGGTCGGGGTGTAGAAAAGCCTTATTTCACATGCAGCCCTTTGGAGCCTAGTCTGTGTTTAGGGAAACAAATCTTAATCAAGCTTTTCTCACATGTATTTCAAAAAAGAGATAGCAACACACACAAAAGACATGGCACACGTTCCTTGTTCATATTTTGTTGATAATATGAATTTTTATGCCATTATTTCTCAGTTGATAAAATCTTTATTGTATGCTGATAGTTTGTTCATACTACCAGATGTTCAAAAGTACATGCCTCTTGAACAGTGGCATGGAAAAATCTCAAGATACTCATCATCACAGTCCAGTTTTCAGTGTACTTTTATATAAGCAAGACTTGTTCAGCATCATTCCCAGCATGTTCTTATTAAAGAATGAATAGAGTTACAGTCTGATTATCAGCTTCTTGACAAGTGACAGGAATATATGGAGTGCAAGAATGAGGCATGAATCTTTTTGTAGAAAAGATTGTAAGCTGTCTATTTTGCAAGCAAGGCTCTTTTTCTGTGACCACCAATGTATAGAGGGGTAGTGCTTATTTCATAAAGTTCTCAAAGATTACTGCCAAAAGTCCAAAGTGAAAAACTGAACCCAGATTTTCCCATCACCGTTTTGCCCTTGAGATAAAGTGATTATGTAAAAATAGAAAGGGAAGGATTTTCATCTTGCCAGAGTGAACAGTCCTTCTCAAGGTAAGGATGAGGAGGTACATTTCTGCACCATGTAGATATGGTCCACTTCAAGAAATAACTTATGTGTTGGTTTTAATGTACAACTACAGTGCAACGAGTGTCAATTTTTGATCCATGTATCCATTATCATTCCACGTATTTTCCTTGAAGGGCTTGATCATTTGCATGAGCTCCAGCAGATGCTCACAAAGGATTGATGTTCTGTATGTGCTTCAAGTGAACATGCATAAATGTGAGTGTTCAAAGCTCCCACTGCCATCTTTGCCAGCACTAGCTTCCTGTTTTCCTGCAATTGAAGGAGCCTGAAACTTACTGTGACAGAAGGAAAAGGAGGAGGTGATGGTGGCAGATTTTTTCTTGGTGAAGATACATAATTAGTCTCACATTCCAGTAAGGTATGCTGGGACATTTAGTCTCAGTGCCCTCATTGGCAGGAACTTGATCTTCCATTGAGATGTTGGAACCACTGCTAAATTTTGAGGGTTCTTGGGGTGGTGTCAGAAGAAGGAAAATTCTGTAGTGAATACTTTGGCAAATAATAGGGGCGTGGACCATGCCCATACCTGCTCATTAGGTGCTAGCTATGATGAACACTTGTTTCCTAGTTATTTGCAGCATCTCTGCTTTCCATTCCAGTGCATCCCTTTTTGCTAGTGTAGAGTCTTACCATTTACTAGAGCAGATCTACATGGTGAGTCTCTTCAATAATATGGATGGCTTTGACACACAAGTGTTTATTAACATCTGATATGTTCTAGTCCTAAACTATGAAGACCAATCTAGTGGGCATATATTATTGTCCTTGATCTGTGTGGCAAACAGACTGATGGGGATAACTATGGGACATGCAAGCTGTGATTATGGTTCATGTGGACCTCTTTTGCTCTTTAAGATCTTTGCTAAACAGAAGTGTCTTGGAGATAGAAATGAAACCTTTGCATTAGAAACATTTTGTCAAGTTGGCTTGTAGCATTATTGATAAACATATTTTGTGGGGGTAAAGAAGTGTGCCAAGGTGTAAATCAACTCATATAAGTATCTAGGCAAGAATTTAAACACCAGGTTCACATAAGAACTATGCTTGGCCAGTTTGTAAATGTAAATAAATTTGTATGTAAATAATGATGCAAATCTCCGAAATGGCATTATATACTTGGTAAAAAGCCACTAATATGATATTTATTCTTGTAATGGCTTTTTTGTTATGAGACTTATGATATACAAGAGTTCTTAACTTTTTACATTTCAGTGGTATAATAATGTGAACATTATCTACTTTATTTTTAAAACAAACCAGTGCAAAGAGAAACTAAAATTTATTGGCAGTTCAGTAAGAATTGGTTCTTCAGAACTCTTAAATAACTAGGTAGGCATTTCCTCAAAATCTGCAATGTTCAATCATCTTTCATTTAATTTAATTGCTTTTTTCTGTTTAATCAGTTGTAGGGATGAAAGCAGATGATTTCATGAATAACAAGAAGTCACACGAAGTACAGTTGATGTCAGAGTTAGTGGATGGCATTGCAAAATACTGTGGCTTAAACCAGGTAAGATTTCTTAAGATTCAGTAATTTATCTTTCCTCTCATGCCAAAAAGTTCAGTCCTCTTTGAAGGGGCTGCTGCCCTTTCCAGAAGCACAAGATTACCAAGAAAACCTTTAGCCTATATTCAGTTCTTGCAGAAAGCAAGTAGGTTTGATCAAACAGTTCTAGAGTCAGAAACCAAACCTCTTGATATTTATTTAGCATATCTATATGCTATCCAGTAATTAGCCCAAATACAGGGTATTGTAGTAATCGAAATGGGAAGCTACCAAATGACTACAGCCAAATTGCCTCTGCCTGGGTGCAGTAGCTGTTGGTTTAAGCTGGTTAGAGCAACAGAGGCTATCTCAGCCTCTAATGACAAAACCAGATCAAGAGGTACCTCTGAACAATGCATGTTCTCTTTTACCACCTCCAATTTGTCTGAACTGAGCTACAGTTAATTAGCCTCACTTAATTTATTACTGTGACCAGGCACTAATTTAACACACCCACAGCCTCATTTAGGACAGATGAAGAAAACTATAGCTGGGTATTATCTGCATATCTGCATATTTCTTCAGCAATTTTTCCTGAGATTGGTCACCCAGAGCAGTTTCCTCCAAGACCTAACCCTAACCCTTCCGGAAGGATACTGTGGTTGATGATAATGGAAGCTGCTGAGAGGTGAAGGTCTTTTTTCTCAGTTAGACTACTGGAACAACAGTTGGCTAAAGCCCTTCCTGTGTGCTACTGTCTAATGAAAGTAATTCATTTTACTGTACCCAATATAAATAAAAATTCTCTGACATATTTACTAATCATATATACGTTTTTGTCACCATATTCAGCCAGCAACAAGGTAGGCTAGGTATTGCTTTTATTCTTGTCAGGAACCTATTGAACTGCTGGAGAGAGATGTATGATCTGAGCTCTTTATTTGTGGAATCATCCCCCGGTTAAAATATGATTGCTCCTTCAGTCATGATTGTCAGATTCATGCATTCATTATGCATGGTAAGTCTTGTGTTTCTGATTTTCACCTCTTGGTGTGGTGTGATAATGATAGTATGATTCTGGAGGCTTGGGGAGCTTATTCAAAGAGTCACTGGAACCTCAGAATACTGGAAGGAAAACAAATCCAATGAAAAGTAAAGTGGAATTCTTGGATATGTGTTTGGGAAAAATAAATAACCAGAGGAAGATTTGGCAAGGGCATGGGAAAAAGAATCAGCCTCTCTTCTGCCCTGCTTTTCTCAGCTCTCCAGGGCTTTGAATGTCTCAAAGGTTCTAGTGTCAGAGCTCTCTGCGGTAGCAGCTGGGTTTGTCCTGCCCATGAAATTGCATTGTGTCCTCAATTTAATACATGTTTACCTTGAAAGTAATCTCTCCTAGCTATTAAAAACCACTGTTTCAGTTAAATGAGAGCCAAAATGCAGAGTTTAAGGAAAGCTTTTTATATTAGATTTTTCAGCGCTTCTCATAAAAATTCCAAATATGTTTAAAATGTAGAGCTATGAAAATTTGCTAAGAAGTAAAAGTAAAAGGCAAGTACTGAGACAATTACAAAGCATGACAAGATTTAGACAACAGGTGTTATTAAAATACAGACAATAGAACTTCGGCTTTGAATCAGTACACACTGAGGCAGTTTAAATTTCACAAACATCAGAAGCAGATGCAGCAAAAAATTTGTGGTTTGTGGTAGCAATTAGTTCCTTTTAGTTAATTTGTAACATGTTGCTTTTGGGTAACTTTGTATCAGGACTTTCATTACCGGAACTAAAACTTATACTAAAGTAGTTTCATGTGTAAGCATTAAGGTTGACTCCATTGTATAAGGAAGACAAGTTCACAGCTAGTGACTAAAAATGACACTATGTAAATATCGTCACTAACTGTAGAAAGGAATCATAAATATATGTAAAATATAACATTTTAGCTCATTATTAGCAAGTCATTAGTACTTTTGAGATCACAGATAAATAATCCTTGCCTTACAACAGTATGCCTCTTTAGGGTGCTGTAAAGACACCTCAGTTTACCAGAGTTGAAGCTGCCCTTAGCTTCACTTTTATGCTTACAATATATAGGCATATTGGGGATGTCATTTTGGAAGGCTATCATTCCTAGGAACGTCCTAAGAACAACATTAACCAATACTGTTGTAGTTAATTGTTATATTGCAAAATTAAAGGGCATGATGTAATATATTGAAAGCTGGTTCCTTTAATAGCTATTAAATTGTTTTGAAAACTATCACAACTGTTACATGAATGATTATAAAACTCTTTAAAGTCCATCTATTCTTTCACTAATAAATGGCAACATTTTGAATGTTTTTGCATTAAGCATGCCTACTTTGAAACAGACAAAGACATCTATGGCACAGGTCCAGTGTCTATACATTATCTATACCTGCATGAGGGCAGCTTTCCTGTAAAGATATCTAAAATTTGACCATTTATTAGAGAGAAAATGGATGGATGATAGAGGAAGGAGCAGCATTCCTACTACCCCGTTTTCTATTCATTATTTCTACACATAAGGGGAAAAATGGAATAGAGCGCATGTAGACAAATGTTACCTCCAGGGACCAGGGATAACATGTAAATAAGACCTTACAGGTATGGCTTAAAGTGACTTTAGGTGTCAGTCCTCCTACCTCTGCAAATGCTTGCCTAATTTACTCTTAAAGTATTGGTGCAAAACAATTTTACACGGCAAATTTTTGGTACCAATTGAAAATTTAGTTTGGATTCATCTTTTCATCTCTGCAGTGAAGTAAGATTGTACAACTTGTTGCAAGAGGGGATGCAGTTTTTCCCAGAGCCTTAAATATATTTCAAATACAATATCATATTATGACTGTTTATAAGCATTTTTTCTGAGATTTTCTGATTGAAAAGGCTCTTTTTATCTCGCAACATGTGCAGGAGATTGCATATTTTAAAAGCAACTTTATTATAAACTTTATTTTTCAAAATAGATGAACATTAATTAGAAAAGTCTAAAGTGGTTGCTTAAGTTGGAAGGCAGCCGGAGAGGGGACCATCCATGATCACAGCACTGATACATTCATTAGTAAAGTGAATGGTTAAAGGAGGCTTGACATAAATGATCATTGTCCACTGGTAACCACTTGGTGTTTCACAGGTGCAAAGACTGGAAGTGAGATGAACCAGACTCTTGTCCCCAGAGCACCTTAATGAGGCTTTCCTGTTAAGTAAACTGTGGTTGACCTGGTATTTTCCTGGACCATGGTCCTTGTCCAACAACCAAGAACCAGGAAATTGAAAATAATAGACAGTAACCAGTTATGATACACCAAACATAGTAAGGAACTACAAAGAAAGGTATCCAAACAAATTGTTTAGCATTAGAAAGACACCAAACTATTCCAAATGAGAGACTTGTAAAATTCCTTCCAGCTTGGTTAACCTGGTTGCTAATACAAATGTGCAAGAAGACAAGAAGGACAAGTTAAATAGTAAAGTGCAAACAAGAAAGAAAGAAAGGAAAGTCCATAGTGCCCTTTTCAAGCCACTTTTTTGGCCTGTTTATATACCTTGAGAGAATGTGGAGTAAGGAATCTTACTTCTGTTCTGGACAAGATGATTAGCTAGTGGAATAAAAGGTGGGTGGCTAATAATACAGAAACATGACACCTCAGTTCGATTTTCTGCTCCACAGACCATTTAGGAATAGAGTATACCTGATTTATGTATGTATTTAGGGTTTTAAAATTATTTATTGCTAAATTATGCCTTGCTGATTAACTCCCAGGCATTTTTGTAGTTTATAAAAAGTTTATGAGATATAAGACATATAAACTATAATATTATTAAAAATCATTAAAACAAAACATAGTCCCTACTAAAATTTTAGTTTTCTTTACTATTTAGAGTCATATTTTTTTAAGAACTGAAGCTTTCAGTTTGACTTGTTGTTAAAGTATTTTGCCTAACTGCATTAAAGTTTTGCCTTGTTGCTTACAAGAACTATATTTAGACATAGTACTTAAACCAATAAAGATTGCATTATGTCTTGGAACTTATATTTTAATAGTTTATATTCAAATTGCCTTCCCAAGTTGAGTCAGTTGTATTTCTACAGGGATTAGCTTTGCAGCATGTTTTATTTCAGTGTGCTAAGCATAACTTTCATTTCACTTTTCAAAAGCAACATAAATGTTCATTAAACATACATAGTTTGGATGTACATAATTTTCCTTGATTAAAAAGTAAGAAATAGTTTGCCAGAGTATTGCTGGCATGTTCACAGACACTAGATGTCAGTAGAATAAAGTATTATTTGAGCCTCAAATATTCTTTGCACAGGAATAGTGAAAAACCTATAGAAGCAACAGCAAAGATGAAAAAAAAAAAAAAACAGATATTTTAAATTATTTTAATATATAGTGTCATGTTTTCATCAGTTTTGGGAAATCGTTTCATACATTCTTCTTGTCTTTACTCTAGATGGATATAGAGTAATAACTAGAGTCTAGATGGGTATGTAATATCTTGGTATAGATATTACATAGTTGAGAGGGGAAAGTATTATTTTTAAACTATATGCATGTGTTTCCTTGGATTTTTGCATATAACCTCCAAGATTCTGGCATAGCAAGATACTCTTTATTTTGCTGATTTTTGGAATATTTATATTCCAAAAATATAAATAAATGTGGATTACTTATTGCTAATATACAACATTTGATTGTTTGAGCCAAAATTCTAGGTTTCCTTGACTAGGCTTGTTTTATGTGCTTGATTCAGACCTTGTTTGTTTGTTTTAAAGTGCTTCGATTAAATATTACAACAAATGGTTTTTAAAATTTAATATTACAGACTTGTTACCTCTTTACATATGGTTTTGTACAATCTGAGCAAAACCTAGATGAAGCATTAGATTAAGCTTTTCTTAAAAGAATGTACATTTACTGCATATGTGATTTTGTAACTACTGATAAAATTGGAACTTTTAGGGAAGTTCAATTTGCTTTCTTTGGCTATACTCT